CCGGATCATGGATGTGTTTTATGTCTGTGAGATTGCCTTTCTAGCATTCACTGACTTGCAAATCCGACACCGCGAATCAGCCCACCTGACCAACAGGAAAGGAAAATCATTCTATGCCGCCATTGACAAGAATTTTGATCGGTACGGAAAAATGATTTCAAGATCCAAGAAATACAGTGCGACCTGGAGTTCAAGAGCTGATGGATCCTGTCAAGAACGACATGGAGCTCAGCTCAACCATGGAGCGCTCAGACTCACAGTGTCCCGCCGAGCGAATATCCGACCTTGAAGGAGCGCATCGCGCAGCCTGGCATTCAACCCCGTTCATGGTGATGCCAAAGGTGATGATTGTGGAATTGGTGTACGATGTTAATTGTAAACTCAACCTCTTCCCCGCGCTTGATGGAATCTCTAAAGTGTATCCTCCCAGGCAGATCCTGGAGGGTCGGACCACAAGCTACAAAGATATTCAGTACACCTTTGGGAGCTATTGTCTCGCTTCCAACGAACCAGACAAGCTCAATTCCATGGAGCCCCGGCGATTGGATTGCATCTATCTCCGTCCATTGATGGACAACCACCAAGGTGGACACAGTGTGATGGACCTCGTCACTTTGAGGTGATCACGCGACAGCATGTCCGCATCCTGCCGATGCCTCGCTCAGTCATTGATCTGTCGAAAAGAAGGCATACGGTGAGGGTAAGAACCACTAATCTTTCACAACCGTGACTTTGTGGAATTTTTACCTGTAGGTTTGCCTGCAGGAGTGGATGGTGTCAATGAAATGAGAGCTACCTCCAAGTCTATGGAGACTCTTCGGACAAGATTCAGTGGAATCCCACGGAATCAGATGAAGATTCTGGGATGGGAACGCCCCAGGGCTAGTACCAAGGGCATCAAACAGTATGCCAAAGACATTGACTCCGATGAAGAAGGAGAAGAGGGATTCCAAGGAATCCCAACAAGCACAGTCCAGACAACCCTACAGTTGAAGAGACGGCACCAGCAGTGGATACCAATGATGGAAACCTCGCTGGACCAGCCAAGGCTTCCAAGCTTCCTCGAGTTGGAATTCGACGCTCAGCTCGGATCGCCACAGCTGAAGCAAAGAAAGGAGTCACCTTCATCCAAGATGACGAAGCGAAGAAACCACTACTGTATGAGACAGAGACAAGCAAAACATCTAGCTTTGTTCATGGACTCCTGTAATCACAGGAGTGCCACAGCAGAAGTCAAGGATGAGAGCAGCCACGCCCAACAACATCTTCTACCCAAGGGTCTGAAAGTGTGGGGCAACAAAGCCAGAAAGGCGGCGCTCAAAGAGAATGGACCAGCTACACAGCAGAGTGTGTTTCAGTCCAGTCGACCCAAAACAAATGCAGTGATTCTGAATTGAAAAAAGCACAAATGGCACTCATGTTTGTGAGTGAGAAAAGGGATGGCACCGTCAAGGCCCGTGCAGTCTACAATGGGAAACCTACAAGGGTGTACCATCAGAAAGAAGATGCCAGAAGTCCAACAGTCTCACTTGAGGGTTTGATGTTATCCATGTGTGTCGATGCATCTGAAGATAGGGATGTGATGTCCCTGGATGTTCCCAATGCGTTCATCCAAACCCCAATGCCAGAAGTCAAACAAGGTGAAGACAGGGTCCTCATGATCATTGAGGGAACCCTTGCAGACTTACTTGTTGAAATTGACCCTGACACATATGCTCTTTCCTGACATACAAGAAGGGACGACCAGTCCTCTATGTCTTGTGGAAAGAGCCATCTACGGAATTGTTTTGGCAGCATTGCTCTGGTACAAGCTCTTCAGGAGCGACTGGAGGGAATCGGTTCGTATTCAACCAGTATGATCCGTGTGTTGCCAACAGGATGATATGAAGGATATCAGCAGACGATACGCTTCCATGTGGACGACCTTATGTCGAGCCACCGGATGAAACTGTAAACAATCGAACCCTGGAGTGGTTTAATGACAAGTACGGTACCTACGGAGCCGTGAAGGCAACCCGTGGTCCCAAGCATGACTACTTGGGATGACAGTGGACTTCTCAGACCCAGGAAAGGTGATCATCGATATGATAGATTACGTCAAGAAGATGGTCTCAGAGTTTCCAGTGGACTTTGGGGCATGAGAAAGGTGTCCAGTGCAGCTCCTGCTGACCTATTCAGCTCTTGTGATGGCACCATCCTGAATGACAGAACAGGGAAACCTATCATACCTTTGCAGCCAAGCTGTTGTTCCTGTCAAGCGTGCTCGACCAGATTTGCAGACTCTCACTACTGTGTTATGCACTCGTGTCAGAGCCCAACATCTGATGATTGGGACAAGTTGGTCCAAGGCCTCAAGTTTTTGGATCAGACGGCGCAGGACAAGCTTATCCTACACATTGATGACATACGCATCATCACTTGGTGGGTGGACGCATCATTTGCAGTCCATCCTGATTACCGTTCCCATACAGAGGAGTCATGTCCTTTGGAAGAGGAGCGGTGCTTTCTGTATCGCGAAACAGAAGCTCAACTACAAGAAGCAGCACTGAAGCAGATGATTGGTGCAGACGACAGTCATGTCTCCAATGTATGGGCCAAATTGTTTCTTGAAGAGCAGGGATCGTTTGTCAAGGACAACATCCTCATTCAGGACAACAAAAGCACATCATTCTTGCGAGAATGGCAAAGGCAGCTCAGGAAAGAACTGGGCTATCAACATTGTTTTTTTTTTCATGACCAGATTGGAAAAGGCAACCTTAGAGTTGTGTAATGCCAACCTTGGAGAATGCGTGGAGATTTTTCACGAAGCCCTTAGGGCAAGCCCTTCACACGAGCACAGGGCTTTCATCATGGGCATCCACCCTTGTTTGATTGGCTAATTTATTTATTCGTTCCACGGTAGCCAATTAGGGCACCGTGCAGGAGTTGTTGGAGGAAACATACCTGACACTTTTTACTATGACTCTGTATTATCATCTAGTCCGGTTCGCATGTAAATTCATCATGCAAGAACCAAGGAGTTTTAGGTCTAAAGTGTTACGGGGTCCTTATATCCAATCAATCACAAGAATTGCTATGCCCACCAGAAATCCTCACTTTTGCTTTTCAGCTTAATCTAAAACCAAATTACTCCAATAAGCTGCAGTATTACATAGCAACACCTCCAACGGCCAAGCCACGGCATCCTTTCTTTGTTTTGAGTCGCTGCTTCGCACAAGCTTGAGCACTGCAGTTGTCCAACAGGAGGATACAATCGGCATTGCCCAACGTTTCACATGGACGAATGCACATCTGAATCCACACAATGTCACTTCCTTTGTAAACCAAGTTTCCTTTGGTTGTATAGGCCATGGGGGTTTTTGTTCTCCCGAAGCGAGAAACACTTCGGGTTGGCAGCCTTACCAACTATGCTGAGGGGAACTTTCTTTCCATCCGCAGACGTACAAATCATAGTTGACTCTCGTCTTGTCCTTCATCTGCTTTGCCCCGCAAAGTCTTTAGCTTTGTCTTTTCAACGTAGATACGATTTGGGGAGTTCTGGTAGTACAAACCAGTTCGGTCGGCATTGTAGATGCGACTGGCAGGACATCGTATTTGTCAATGAGAGGATAGAACTCATTCTCCCTCCACTCCTTCATGATTGCCGCCTTCGCTTCATCATCCATGTCGCCGCCTCTCTGCAGATTGATTCCAACTCTACCATTTCGTTGAAGGACTTGCAAATCCATCCATCGGAAGCATTGAACTCCTTTTCTGGTACACCGAGCTGCTTGGCAAATTGAAGTGCCTTCGTTTTCAGGGTGATCCAAGACAAACCGCATTTGTCGGTCCCAACTTTCTTCGCACGCAGATCCATGTAGGCAACCAGCTTCTTCTCAACCTCTGGATACTTTGGTGGGGCATAGCGCTTGGATGTGTCGGTTGGGACTAAAGTCTTGTTGTCGTATTGCTTCAGGTACTGACTGAAGCTCTGCCGTTCCGACTGTGTCCCAGAGAACTTCGGCCCAGAAGCGGACGATTGCAGGAAGGCTTTGGCTTGCATGTTCTTGAACTGTGTACGGAAGGAGTGGCATGCCTGAGCCCAGTCGCCTCTGTTCTTTTTCCCAGTAGCATTCGTTGAACCTGCTTTTGGTCCCCTCTTTCCGCCTTTCTTCGTTCCTTTCTTCGTTACGGTTGAATCGGCGCCGTTCATGTTGGTTGAATCGGCGCCGTTGGTTGAATCAGCGCCGTTGGTTGAATCGGCGCCGTTCATGTTGGTCTATGTCAGATTGGAGGGTTTGGTATGGTTTGGGTGAAATTGTTTGGCAGCTCAGGAGAATTGTTTTTGTCTCCTCGAAACCATCCTTCGAAAACTGCACGTAAACAACCAGCGCTTGGGCTGGCCCAGACAAGACAGCCACGGGACAGCCACGGGCAGAGGTGCGAGGAATCCCACCTCCATTGGATCGATATTGGCATTTTACATGCTGTCTCGGTCAAATTGAAACGGTTGGAATGGATTGCACGACGTTGTCGGGCTGCTCGAAAGATTTGTTGCTGCTCCAAAGATTCATTCACGGATACCCGGGACTGAGGGGGGGACCTCGAGATTTAATAAATATTACAGCGAGGATAAATATAATATTATAAATATTAGAGCGAGCAGACTGTACTACCTACAGTAGCTAGTATGTGTTTCCTCCATGGCTTCGAAACTTCGAAAGATTCGATTCAATCATTCGATTCGATTCGCTCGACGTGCCGTGTCGCCAAAGATTCCTACCGGCCAAGACTTGACTCGACTCGACTCCGTCAGATGGAAGGAAAGCAACCACAGCTTGAGCTTGCGTTCTGCGGGTGATGATTGGTTAACTCGCCACCGGTTCTGGCAGGGACGGGATGGGTGGTACAGTAACACAGGATTCCGAAACGGAGTCTGAGCGTCTGAGCTCTTGGTCGGAACTTTACACCGACAGTAGCTCGTAGTCGTTGCCATGCCTACAACACAAGCTAGCGCACATCTACCTGCTTTGTTGGTTTAGCTCTATATTTTATTGTTCTAGTTTATTCTTTTTGGTTTGGTTATGATACTCGTCTTGTTTCTTTTGTTGCGTTGCCTTGCGACGAGTCTAGTAGTTGGCAGAACTGTATTGTATTGTTCTGGCTGGTGGTTGTATTTTTGCTTCATTGTTCTAGGGCCTTGTAGTCGGCCATGGAGAAGAGAGGACTCTTGGTGGTGGTGACGACAGAGTACTTGCTTGTCAAAATCTGAGGAGGCAATGGTGTGGGTGCCAGTGTATTGTCAGCGGCATCATCAATCCAGGATGTAGCTTCGACATGGTACGCCGAATCCCGAGCTTGATCTTCGACCATGTCTTGGTCGTCGTCGTCCAAGTTTCCCATGACATCTTCTCGAATGGCGTCGCAGAGAATGGAGAGACGTAGTGATCCCTGGAAAGGATCTTCAATGCTGTACCCAATCTGGTAAATGCCACTGTAGACAAAATAGAACAAAGAAGCTTGAGTGAGTATACTGAAAGATGGAAACACAGTTACAGTGTGACGATGCAATTCATACTTACAACATGAGCCAGGCAATCACCGCAGCGGCAGGTCCCGTCATGAATCCCAAGTCCTTGACCATGGTAAATGGCAGTGTCAATAGCCACAGCGTCAAACTGCGCAGACTGTGTCGGGCATAGTTAAGAGGCACGGCCGTCTGATGAATGCGTTCGCATTTGCCAATGGCATCGGTCAACTTTTCGACCTGAGACAAAAAGTGTTGTCGTTCGCGATTGGTAAAGTTGGGTCCATAGGGAATGTCGCAAATCTCCCGGCCGAGTCGGTCACAGATCCAAAGCGGACGATTGCGCGCTTTGGCGACCTTTTCCAAGGCACCGGGCGCAATGAGTGACCAGGGCAAGTTGCGACGGTCGACCCAACATTCCTTCGGTGGCAACATGTGATCGGCGGGGTTGGTCGAGCCACCGCATCGCTTGTCTCCTTCGTGTCGCGTCTCGACCATTTGCTGGGCGGGTTCTTCCAACAAGAGACGGTATCGTTCGTCAATGGAGCCTTGTTCGCAGAGACAACCACTACGAATGTGGTGTCGCAGCAGATACGGGAAAGCAGCAATCAAGTTTCGAATGCGATGACGACGACTGGGTCCAATCTCGCGGCCGTAGAGACAAGACAACCGTGACAGGTTGCGTGAGACGGAAAGGATCTGTTCCCAAATCTTGCGGCCCTCCTGTGGATACAAACACAAAGGTAGAGTACGTAAAGTCAGTGAGATGGTCCGATTCATTGGGAGTCTTCTATTTGGTGCAGTACAGTATACTTACATTGAACCTCTGATAAGCCGAATTGGTTCGAAAGACCAACAAGAGTCCCAGCGACGACACGAGGAAACTGTGTGCCGCCGACGAGACACAGAGTCGACTGGCCATGACTTGCAATGCCGATCGGCCACTCGACGCTAAAAGATGGTGGAGCACGGACACAGCCGTCGACCATCCAAAGACGGCCAATACCGGATTGCCAATCTCTCTCAGAATGGTCGAGCTAGGCAACGTCCGAATGTTGTACCAGTAATCATTGGCCGAGTGTCGATTGTTCACCTTGTCGTCCAATCCTTCGTTCAATGGCTGGAATTGGGCACTATACAGAAACGCCGAAGTAGTAGTAGGGAGTTGTCGCTTCCTCCGAGAGACAGACGACCGTTGAGATGATTGTTGTTGTGTTCTACTGGCGAATCCACTGCCGCTGCGAGTCCTAGTCGCTGTAAAGGATTCCGTGTCAGCTGCCAGTAGCAGTGCGAGAGCGATACAAGCTTGCAGTCTCATGGTGATGTGCTGTACTCGTTGATGTCTTGTTCTATAATATGTTGGTTTGTTTGTTGTGGGAAAAGTTGTGGGCACTCTGTGCGAGTCTTTCCCAGTCAAGTCAGATTGGATTCGTCTTCTAATATGATGATCTAAAGCGTTTGCACAGCAGCATCAACGATTTGCTTTTTATTAATCCGTTCCGATACGATGCAAGAGTTTGATTGTCGTCGGAGAATCTACAATGCACGGTCGAAAGATTCATGGGCCAAACAAGAATATGAATCTGTCTATCTGGAGCAATCTGCTGTGCTCACATGCAGCTGAGGTTGATGTGATGTCGGCGGCACTCTTGCCAGCTGTGCAATTTGTGAGACGGAGAGGGCCAACCAAACCTGTAAACACCACCGAGTTGTTATAACAGGGAATGTTCAATAAAAAGCTTCCGCATCATCTCCAAGTGCACGTTATAACACACACTTTAGAGTTTTGGGCCTCAACGAATCTTCGAATCTTCCGGGGCGAATCTTCAAAAGCAGCTGAGAGCTCCGCGGTTATGTATACTCCGAATCTTCCTCGCTGGCTAAACGACTGCCTCCACGCACGAATCGAATCGCTCACTGCATCGCTTCTCTTTGTCCTGTAATTATGACCATAGTCACAGTTTACTAAATCCGAGGGTGTCTACAGTCATATTTATGACCCATCATTCAAAGGGAAGACTTCCTATCACGCCTACCAGTCAAAAAGGAGAACTGTCATTGTTTGGAAATTCGAGAACGGACGGGACCACAAAACAGCAGCTCTTAACATCTTGTGATCAAGATGGCCGTCGACAACACCACACACTCTAGCTAAATAGTGGCGACTCCAATTTTGTTTGCATTCATCATTCAATGATTCGATTCGATAGGTACATTCAAACAGCAAGCTGCTCCTCACATCCGTTCGGACGGGAAGCCTGACGTCTACAAGCAAGCTGACAAGACCGTCTTGCGGCTGCTGATTCAATGGGCAACTAAATAACTGCCCGCTGATGCTACATGTATATGGACACTTGAAACATTGAAATGGGTGGTGGACCATGGCTGCAGGATTAGTCTTGCTGGTGGATTGGTTGCACAGGAAATGGGCACTTGCAGACGTACAGTTGGTGAGCACAAGGAAAGACTGTCAATCATCCATCGATCAATACTTCATTATGCAGTGGTGCATGGATCATGTTTGAAGTGGGCTAGAGAAAAAGATTGTCCATAGGAACACACTTGTGAGGCTGCAGCTTCAGGGGGCATATTGATCCTCTGAAATGGGCTAGAGAAAAGATTGTCCATAAGATGTTGCAAGGCTGCACAATTGGAGGAATGCCTCAGGGATGGTGAGGTAACAATCAGCCAAATGGGCTCAGAGGAGATGGCTTGAAGCAATCCTCATGTAAGTAAGTAAGTGGGCAAGTAAAAATGGTCGCCAAGAGCCCTGAGAGTGTCAAATTCTTGTGCAAAGACAAGACTCTTTCCTTCGTGCTACGCACCTCAAAGCACTGCCAGTGAGCCACATTTTGGTTGGGGTTGTGAAACTTGTCACAGCTTCATTGTCATTCGGATTGATTCTGGTATTGGACGAAAGAACCAAGAAGTCACATTACATAGTCTGCGGTGTTTTCTTTGTTTTTTGCGTGCAGACTAGCAACTGTTGTAGAAACTAGCTAGACTTTCTAGCTAGTGTCAATCAGATTGCATGAATGCACGATACTAGTACTTCCGCCTGCTTCAGTACTGGTAGCTAGTACAGTACATTTCACAAAACAGCACCACCACGGGAAAAGGTGTTCTAACCATAACTTTAATGGCAGTCTTGCACTTTTAACAAATCTGCTTTCAAGAAAAAGGAAAAAGAAAAAATGAGGTGGCCATGGATGCACGCCATGGTCGCCACAGATCTTTTGTTGCTGCTGCCAGTGCAAATCCAAAGCTTTTGGCTGCTCGAGCTTTTGGCCAAGATCTGTTGCTCATTCTGTCATTAGCTACAAGCTAGCTACTATTATAGATCTTGAGAAGTGTAGAAGATATGCCGACATTGACTGAACGAAAGAAAAAGCCGCCTCCGACGGCCGCGTCGTCGTCTCCTGGGGACATTGAACTCTCTCAAAGAAAGTCAGATGCAAGCAATAATAATGAAGAAGAGACTCGGGAATCTGATCCATTGGTTGGCAATAATAATGACAACAGTAGTGCGAATGGTTCCAGGAGGAAAACATCACGACGAGTCTCCTTTGACGACCACTACCGAGACACTAATGCAACGAGTGTGATTGGTAGCTGGATCGGACTCTTCGTCATTATGGGGTTACTGGTCATGGCCATGTTTGCCTATTGGAAACAGAGCACCCACCAGCATCATATTGAAAATGCAGAGAGCAGTATCAGTGGGATTAGAACACCCAGTCGCACCCGTGCACCCAGGGCCAAGAATAATGACAATGATGACAATGATGACGATAATGACAAGGACGACAAAGATGATGCAGAAAGAGGGACTTTTTATTTTGACCCTTTTGCAGCCGTGCAAACTTCGAACCCATTGGAAATGACCGATGAAGCAATACCCGAGTATTATGCCCAAACTCTGGTTCCTCCCGTTTGGGATGCATTGCAGGATCCAGCCACAAAAGCAACCGATGACAACCGATTGGGCTACATGATGCAACCAGACACTGTGAACGGCACTGTCGTCTTTGTCTCGGAAGGAGATGTTTATCTGGCGAGATGGAACACGGAAACTCCGGATTGGGATGCTTCCATTCCTGCCATGAAACTTACAACAACCGTGGGAAACGTCCGAAATCCCAAAATCAATCCAGTCTACCCCTATTTCATTGCCTACACGGCAACCTATACAGGTCGTCGAGATATCTATCTCTTGGACCTCCGACGAAGAACGCATGGAAGTCAACCAGCCATGAGGTTGACTTACTGGCCTACTTCCTTTGGCGTGCGAGCGCTCGTGGGATGGAAAGATGATGGCAAAACACTCGTCTTCCAGGCAAAGTCCAATGAAGTGAGTCTCCCGGACTATCGAATGTACGAACTGACATTGTCATTGTTTGACAAGGATGACGATGCCGTCGTCAACAATAATAATGCCACCAATCAGATCCAACATCCACAAGTACTGCAAGTCAACCCAGTACCACTCTCACAAGCCCTGGAAGGGGCTTACCATGGGCACGAGGATTGCTGGTACTTTACTCGGTTCCAGCAATCGTCGCAAACTGCCCGATACCAAGGAGGAACGGCAGAATCAATCTGGTCTTGGTGTGACACTCATTCATTGGCCGTTTCACTCACAAGACATGGATTCAATGGCACTAGCAAAACACCATCCATCTACGGAATGCACGTTAACAATATACGGACCCAAAAGGAAGAAAAGCATCACTATCTATTGTTTCTCAGCGACAGAGGTCCCAATGACGATGACAGTGACGCCAACGAGTGGAAACCAACCACCATGAATCTGTGGGCTGTCCCGTTGCCCGAGAAGGATGTGTTGGATGGTGTGGCAAATGGAAACTTCAATGCTACGGTTATTCCCTCCTACAATCCTTCCCAGTTTGTTCAGTTGACTCAAGTATCCTGCGACTTTGGAGGCATTGCACTACGGGAATACAGCTTGGATCCAGTTACCAAAAACATTGTCTTGCGCATCGGAGCTGACTTGCATTGGATGTCAGAGGACACCATCAAACAGAAACTAATTGCAGCTTTGCCTGCCAATCGTCGTCGGGAGCGCTCGTTAGAAGGTGAAAACAACGCGACACCAGCACCAGCACAACCCTCGTCCAACGACAAGAAGAAGCAGTCAATCCGAAGATTGCCAATCCTCGTATACTCGGATTTCCATGAACATCAGGAACGATTGATCAGTCTCGACTTCCCCGGCGACCTCGACTCTGGGGACGTGTACGAGACTGCCTTTGGAACCGTGGCGTTCTTAATGGCGGCACGAGGCCAACTGTGGGTAGCTCCTGTGCCATCCGCCGACACTGAAACCTACAATGGCGCTGGTAGGAACATGCCACCCCGCAGGTACCGTGTCGTACCAGGGTCCAAAATGGGCGGGGCAATCCGTGTACTGAAGAGTCGCCACGTACCTGTCGTCCTGGAGGACGATAAATTCTCCCGGCGTCTGGCGCTCATTCTGGCAACGGATCCCCGGAGTCCCACAGCCGAGCATGCCTTCTATCTTATCGAAACACAGTCAAGTGCGAAACCAACGTTCCTAAGTTTCGATGCATTACCCGAGCCTTTTGTTGGTGGACATGGCGGAGGTGGGAGCATAAGAGATGGCGGTTTGGGATCCGTCGCAGCGGACTCTGTCACTGTGAGTCCTTGTGGAAGACGTCTTGCGTGGGCGGACACCGATGGTCGCATCTGTGTCATGACATTGCCTCCGTACAAGGAGACAAAATCGGAATACGGGAACTATACGGTCCTGCCGAAGGAAAATGAGTTGGGCGCGCCGATGATCGGGACAGATGCAACGTTCAAATGGAGTCCAGGTGGCCGATACTTGGCGGTGGAACACACCGCCCGCAATCAATTTACAGTTATTAGTGTGGTGGATTGTGGCGATCCACTGAAGGTAGGAACGGAAAGTTCCGGTGAAGACTTGGACCCGAAAGCTGCTGGTATCAAGGTTGGAAGAATTGTGCAAGTCACCTCCGATCGATTCAATTCTAACGCTTGCTATTGGGGTAAAAGCAGCTATGACAAGAACTACTACGGCACATCTGCTACGATTGCACAAGCTTACAACGACGAACCAGAACCAGATGTTTCTACAACCACTCTTTACTTCCTAACGGATCGTGACATTGTGAACAAGCAAAGAAGTCCATGGGGAAACAGGGCTCCGAATCCTTACTTTGAGAAAACCAAAATCGTTTACGCACTGCCGCTGCTACCTCAGGAGCACCTTCACGCTACTCATTCCGGCCACTTCTCAGGTGGTGGTGCCTCGGAATTATTTGCAGAAAAGATTCTCGATCTCAAGAGTCTGCTGAAGGAGGAAAAGGAAACTAGAAGTCTCACCAATACTCCCTCTCAGGCTCCATCAATCGGCGACCCTGAGGCACATTATCCTCAAGACCCGGATATTGACTTTGGTCCTGCCGATTTGACGTTTGCAAGGAGAGCTTATCGCCTAGCAAACATCCCGGCGTCAACATACATTACCATTGTCTCGCAGGCACAAGATGATGAGAGCCTTGTTCTCATTTCGAAAGATGCAAAAGAATACCACTTGACAATTGCATCAATCAGTCCATTTCCTTCTGACAAAATCGAAATGAAGGTCATTCCTCACGCGCTTGTGGACTACGGGATCTCCACCAGTCGAGAACATATTTATGTTTGCTTTTCACTTTTCATCAAGGTCGTCCCAAACACGGCTGCTGGTTTGCTTTCCTTTCTGACCATGGATGCAGCCGATCCTACCGATGTGGTGTCGACGGATGGACTGGCAGTTTCCGTGTGGCCCAAATTGGAGTACCAGCAAATGTACGGTGACGCGTGGAGAATGATGCGAGATTACTTTTACGATCCTGACATGACTGGGATAAACTGGGATCAAATGTACCATCGATATCATGCTTTATTGCGCCGTTGTGCAAAGAGGGAAGAGTTGGACGACGTTCTTGCGCAAATGGCGTCGGAAGTTTCAGCTTTGCACGTCTTTGTCTATGGCGGTGAATACAACCATCCATTGGCTGGTGATCCGGCGATTAGAGCTCATATTCCAGCCAGTTTCGGCGTTGCGATGCAGCGGTCAGCAGAATGGAAAGGATATGTCATCACGTCTCTTCCCGAGCTTGATCCAGACTTCAGTATGATGGACGGTGAAGAAATATTCAGCCCATTGAGCAATCAAACTTTGCGTTTAAGTGGCCAAAAGGGCTTGAGTGTGGGTGATGTGATTGTTTCCGTGAACGGTGAGAGCGTGATGCAGGTTCCAGATATTCATATGCTTCTTCGCGGCTTGGGTCACCAGAGCGTCCGTCTAGATGTTCTTCGAATAGGTTCCTCTGGCCAAGAAACCAAGGACAGCGTGGATCCCGAGCCTCTTATCGCCGTTCCTATTGCTGGGTCTGATGACCTTCTCTATAGTGCGTGGGAGTGGAAGACTCGACGGACAGCGAAAAGCCTCGCAGAGAAGGCGAAGTTCTCGGTAGGGTACGCACACTTGAGATCGATGGGATCTCCAGGAGATATCGACTCGTTCTATCGTGGTTTCTTCGCTGATTTCGACAAGGATGCTTTGATAATTGATGTTCGACACAATTTGGGAGGCAACATTGATTGGTGGCTGCTCGATGTTCTTCAGCGCAAGGCCTGGATGTATTGGACATCCAGATCGCAGAACGCAACGACAGGTGGGCTAGGATGGGACGAACAGTTCTCTTTCAGAGGACATCTTGTGGTACTCATAGACGAAAAGTCCTCGAGTGACGCTGAAGGTTTTTCTCGTGGTGTTTCGGAGCTTGGTCTTGGACGTCTTGTTGGAACTCGGACGTGGGGAGGCAAGTATGCTTGTGCTGGCTGTAGCTTGCAGTGCAGCACGGTATTAGCTCAACTGTGATTCTTGTTTTGTTGTGTCAGGAGGAATATGGCTCAGCTCCGACAACACTCTGGTTGACGGTGGTATCGCATCGGTGAGTTTGACGCTTGCTTTTCAAAGCTTTTCTGATTGCTCTACGGGTGATTTTACTGACGCTTCTATTTTCCAACCAAAGGCACCTGAGGACGGAACCTACAACGAGAAGCTCGGTCCTGGGCTCGGCATCGAGCAAATGGGAGTCGAGCCGGACATTATGGTAGACAACAACCCTCGCACCACATACGATGGCAGGGACACTCAAATGGAACATGCCATAGAGGTGCTGAAGGATTGGCTCGAAAAGGAACCTGTGGTCATTCCTCCTGAACCAGCGCACAAACGCAATATGGCGTATGACGATAGCCAGAGTTGTAAAGCTACTTAGAACCGGCAATCAATCGGGCACAGTCGATGCAACCGAATTCACTAGCTAGATCCAGCACCTCAGTGTCCAAGTTGAATGGTGTGTGTGTGTTGTGGTGGCGCTAAGGCTAGCCTAAAGTCCATGAAATATATGACGGGAGTAATGAAGCTCTGGTACATGTACCGCGTCGAGTAGGCAACAATCATTGTGTATCCAAAAGAACTCAGCGCAGGACCCGGGCTCCACTCTTGTTATGTACCACACCAATAGATGGCCTGTCTCCAACCAAGCATAGATCCATCGTTGATCCTCATTTCTTTGTTGGACCTCGGACGTGGGGAGGCAAGTATGCTTGTGCTGGCTGTAGCTTGCAGTGCAGCACGGTATTAGCTCAACTGTGATTCTTGTTTTGTTGTGTCAGGAGGAATATGGCTCAGCTCGGACAGCACTCTGGTTGACGGTGGTATCGCATCGGTGAGTTTGACGCTTGCTTTTCAAAGTTTTTCTGATTGCTCTGCCGGTGATTTTACTGATGCTTGTATTTTCCAACCAAAGGCACATGAGGACAGAACCTACAAAGAGAAGCTGGGTCCTGGGCTCGGCATCGAGCAAATGGGAGTCGAGCCGGACATTATGGTAGACAACAACCCTCGCACCACATACGATGGCAGGGACACTCAAATGGAACATGCCATAGAGGTGCTGAAGGATTGGCTCGAAAAGGAACCTGTGGTCATTCCTCCTGAACCAGCGCACAAACGCAATATGGCGTATGACGATAGCCAGAGTTGTAAAGCTACTTAGAACCGGCAATCAATCGGGCACAGTGGATGCAACCGAATTCACTAGCTAGATCCAGCACCTCAGTGTCCGAGTTGAATGGTGTGTGTGTGTTGTGGTGGCGCTAAGGCTAGCCTAAAGTCCATGAAATATATGACGGGAGTAATGAAGCTCTGGTACATGTACCGCGTCGAGTAGGCAACAATCATTGTGTATCCAAAAGAACTCAGCGCAGGACCCGGGCTCCACTCTTGTTATGTACCACACCAATAGATGGCCTGTCTCCAACCAAGCATAGATCCATCGTTGATCCTCATTTCTTTGTTGGAACTGGGACGTGGGGAGGCAAGTATGCTTGTGCTGGCTGTAGCTTGCAGTGCAGCACGGTATTAGCTCAACTGTGATTCTTGTTTTGTTGTGTCAGGAGGAATATGGCTCAGCTCCGACAACACTCTGGTTGACGGTGGTATCGCATCGGTGAGTTTGACGCTTGCTTTTCAAAGTTTTTCTGATTGCTCTGCCGGTGATTTTACTGATGCTTGTATTTTCCAACCAAAGGCACATGAGGACAGAACCTACAAAGAGAAGCTGGGTCCTGGGCTCGGCATCGAGCAAATGGGAGTCGAGCCGGACATTATGGTAGACAACAACCCTCGCACCACATACGATGGCAGGGACACTCAACTGGAACACGCCATAGAGGTGCCGAAGGATTGGCTCGAAAAGGAACCTGTGGTCATTCCTCCTGAACCAGCCCACAAACGCAATATGGCGTATGACGATAGCCAGAGTTGTAAAGCTACTTAGAACCGGCAATCAATCGGGCACAGTCGATGCAACCGAATTCACTAGCTAGATCCAGCACCTCAGTGTCCGAGTTGAATGGTGTGTGTGTGTTGTGGTGGCGCTAAGGCTAGCCTAAAGTCCATGAAATATATGATGGGAGTAATGAAGCTCTGGTACATGTACTGCGTCGAGTATGAATCAATCATCATGTATCCAAAAGAACTCAGCGCAGGACCCGGGCTCCACTCTTGCTATGTACCATACCAATAGATGGCCTGTCTCCAACCAAGCATAGATCCATCGTTGATCCTCATTTCTACATGATGTGTAAGAGTAGCATTAGTCAGACAGGCCCTACATACAACGAATGCCGTTGGCCTTTTCTGGCCAACACATGCATTGTCTCGACTGCATGGGACTTGGTTGCATGTGCTGCATGATGTCTGAACTAAATTCACACCTTGGTTTATTATCCGGAACGCACTCCTGCAACGAAACCACCGCCAAAGCCACCACCCGCCGGGAGACTGTATTGCAGTACGGACATGATTTTATCCATGGCAAGTTGTGCATCTGCTTGATCCACTTTACCATCCTTGTTCAAATCCATGGTCTTTTCAAAGTCCTTTTGCAGCTTGGCGTGGTCTACCTCAATATAGCCATAGTAGGAGAGTGTCTGCAAGCTCATGAATCCAAGTCCTGATGAATGAAAGAATGAATGAACGAAACAGAAAATATGAATTAGTTGTGGCAGAGAACGTACAGCTTTTCTGACAAAAAGAGACTCCATGCTACCAGTGCGTATACACCATACTCACCAAAAACCACGGCAGCACCTCTGCCGATTGTCTTCAGGGCATACCCAGAGCAATATCCACAGACAAAGCCATAGGAGAGTTGAGAAGGAATTCCGGTATCGTAGGCACCTTGGATCTGAAGAAGAAAGAAAGATTGAATTGTGAGCTCCTTGCTCAGAATATTCGATTCACCACTCTTCTTTTCGAAGTTGAGTACTAGTATAGTACCGGTAGTATTGGTCCGCACCTTTTCTCCGGATGCCTTGGCTACCTTGTCCCAGAAATCCGAGTCTGCGACCTGGGTGACGCTCTTCATCCAATCGGTGTTGCCATCCTTGTCCTTTTGCGCAATGGACTCGAAGAATCCCTTATCCTTGCCTTCACAGAGCGCAGCTATTCCAGCGGACGACGAAACCAACGAGAAAGCCAGGGCCGTCAGCCCGGGAGAGGAAGCAGAAAACCGAGACAGGGCAGTCTTGGAGACAGATAATTGCCGACGAGCCACAACAGAGCCTTGAAGCGTGGCTTTGGTAGCGGCAGAGAGCAACGTCTTGTGCATCATGCTTTTGTATTGGAATAACAACTGGACTAAAGATACTGTAGATGTGACCCACCCTGCGAAGAAGAATAGGTTGCGTGCGAATGAAGAAGAAAGAAGATCCAAATTCGAATGAGAATCTTTTCTCATTTATGCCCATAAGGGATAAGGTTTAATGGCCACATTTCACCCCCTTGCGTGCAACTGGGCATCCTCCCTTCATTGGATTTCATTGGAATAATTATTCTTGCCTGTTGTCGTCCCAACGGCTTGCAAAGACCGTTTGCGCACTGCATCGAAAGACAACGGTTTTGTCAAGGTGTTTTTCATCACATAGATCGATTCCATGCAGCTTTAGTTTGATCAAGCAGACAGACACCATCATCCGACAGACCAGAAGTAGTACCTGCTGCATGGTCCCTCCAGAGAACAATCCAAACAAGAGTGTCCAAGAGCGCTAGCTAGCAAGTCTACTAATAGGGGCTTGGTGGTGGAGTGGATGACCTGAGCTGCCGTCATGCCTACGATTGCTTCCGACGAACATTCTTCTGCCCATGAACAACATCATGGTTCCGTCGTCCATCATCCAACCGAACGTTGTTCGGGATGCAATGCCTCCAACTTGTCACTCTTAGCATGCGATGATCCTGATTTCCGGAATCTCAGCAACGTTCCTGGAACCAAACCGCGGTACGAACAGTCGTCAATCTGCAGATTTGTTAGTGTGTTGGATCTATCCCAGAGTGGCTTTCTGGGACATAGATTGCAGTGGCTCATTGCAGAGACACTTGTGGTGGTGTGGATAATGTCCACTCTTGCAGTATCATCATCCTCTAGGAGGCGGGGTTGTTGGGGAATGGTTCCCGATGCATGGGAGTTAGATGTTGTGCTGTCACTGGACATTGATTTATCCTGGACTTTTGTGCCACTGGGATGTTGCTGCCATCAAACCTTCTGCCATCTCTTATTCACTTCTCTTCTTCTCTTGATTTTCTGATTGATTCAGGTTCTGTGCCAATTGCATGATTGGCAAAAAGGTCCGGGTCTTTTGGCCAGTAGACAGTAGCTGGTACACGGGTGTTGTGCTGCAGTATGACGCCAACACGGGGGAACATCTTCTCAAATACGAAGATGAAGACACAGAATGGGTAAAGGTAGGTTGCACATCAATCATAGAGTCGATACGGTTGGTACACTATTAGGATCCAGCGCATTAGGCTCACCTATATGCTTTGCTTCCTCAGATTGGGGAAAGTAATACCTGTGCACCTCCAGGCGGATCCGTTCAAGATCCATCCTTGCCGAATGACGAAGCTGGCTTGGAAATGCCTTCTCACCCTCCTCCTCCTGGCAATGATGGGATGGATCACCATCGCAAGAGCGATGTTCAGCCCCAGCCGCCTCATACGCAAGGATCTTTCGCCTCGGCCGAACATCCACCCGGAAGAAATACTCCGGACCGTCAATGGCCCATGGAACAACCACGTCACATTCACCCCGATGGTACGCCTCCTGGGTATGGCATGTACCCCGGCGCTGGTGGTGGCGGATATGGAATGCATCCCGAACATTATCCTCCATCCAGCTACCATCATCACCACCCACATCATCCTCCTCCCCATCACATGACCCCCAGTCCATACGGTGGTCCTCAATACCATGGCTATCCACCTCCAGTAATGGGCCTACCTCCGGGATTGGTGAGCAGTGCACGAGACGACTCGCATCGGCATTCTCCTCATCCCTCCAAGGCGCCATCAGAGCCCAGCTCCTCACCAACATCCATGACTGGGAGTGTGACCAAGCGGAAGGCAGGCCCGAAGGCGTGGACCAAAGAAGAAGATGCCAAGTTGCTGAGTATTGTACAAAGCATGCGCATGCCTATGAAATGGTCCATTGTAGCTCAGTCGTTGCCGGATCGTACTGGTAAACAATGTCGAGAGCGCTACGTGAACCACCTCAACCCGCGCCTCAAGGTAACGGATTGGAGTCCGGTCGAAGATGCCACAATCTTTTACTTTTACAACATTTCTGGGAGCCACTGGGCCAAAATGAGTCGGGGAATTCCGGGGCGAACCGACAATGGGATTAAAAATAGGTTCCACAATCTCCGTCGACAGCTGGAACGAGAAGATGAACACCGTTTGCGGCTCAGTACAGCAGAGAACTTCCCCGAGGAGATTCGTCTAGACCGCATACGAGACTTCCCCGAAAAGCTGCAGGGCAAAGCAGCCGATTTGTGGGACATGAAGAACGGGATTGGCGTCTTGGCAGCACAGAGCGTTCTAGGTGGTAGCATTTCTCGAAACTCGAGTCGGTTTGGTCCTTTTCGCAAGGCAGAAGACGGAGACATGTGTGTCAGATGCGGAATGCTCATGCCCAGTCTTCACACTGGCTCCGAGCTGTGCACCAAGAGCGGTTGGTGCCAGAGCTGCACGCGCATCCCTCCACACATTTGCTGCAACTTGCTGCGCGAATGTCTGAACCTCCGACGAGAACAAGACACCAAACTTCGGGATGTCATTGAATCCTGGGAAGAATTCTTTGGCAACGGAGAACAAAGCGATGGAGAGCAGAAATCTGAATGAGCGTTTGTGGAGTAATGCCTTTTCTTGGAAGTCTTACATGTAACTAATCAAGAAGGCATTTGAGGCCACCAAGGACGAAGCTCTGTGCGATAATGGCTTGTCGACGAGGCTAGCTGGCTAATACGAGAGAAAAACTGATACCCCTCTCTGCAAACTTTCTCGTTCATATTTGTAGTCTAGCTGCCTGCAAGCATGCTGTTGTCTTGATGGATGTTGCCAAAACATTGGACGGCGAAGTCACAAAAGCAGCAGACGTATCAGCGTTGCTGAGTGACCAGAGTAGCAGTCTAGCAACCAGACTGTGCGGGAGCTTGTCACGGATAAGGTCAAAGAGACGTCGATCTTTTTTGAGACTCCCTCCATCACATTGTGTAGGACTGTCGATGCCAGTGAAAGTTTGCATGCAGAACTAGATCTACTTCACATACATGTCCTGCAGCTGTGAAGCTCATAGCGATGCCAGGGCGATTTGTTGACAAATTATTCATGACTAACTTGAATTAGCTAGTCTTTAAATAGAGCGTACCGTATGACGCATTGTGGATTGGTGTCTACCGTACCATCTTTGGAAGAGTTTCATTGCAGCAATAATATTGGCAACTTTGTCACACCACATTGTCCCCTTCCGTGGCGCCCAATCGTTCCAGTCCTGCCGTTGGCGGTTTGTAGTAATCAATGAAATCGGGGTTGCTGAGGATGAGGAAAATGTGCAGGATTCCTACGGCCAAAAAGGCAATTCCAGTGGCCCACCCAAGATATTCCACAGTTTGGCTCTGTTCACCCATCAATCCCAAGCAAAGAAAGGCGACAAAGATCAGGTAGAATCCTTTGCCTTTCAAGCCATACATGAATCCGAAATTCTATTTAAAAAAAAGAGAAGAAGACAGATGTGAGAGACCAATCGACACCACAGAATGTAATGTCAAAGGGTAGCATTTCATGAATAAAATATACCGTACCTTTCTGAGGGTCTTGTTGACTGCTGGGACAGGCATCCACCACATCATTTCATACAAGAATAGAAGCAGAGCAAACATGATCATGTAGGAAGCCAGGAAGGGTGTGGCGGCAATGTCTTCCAGACTGGTAGCCTTGGTTTCCAGAAGCGTCAAGACTCCCAGTGTACCCATCGAACCGGCGAGAGCTAGACAAAGCACTGATAGCATGACAATCATGCATCTAATCTGGCCTCTGTTTGTATTTTATAAAAAATGTCAAGAGAAGAACACAAGGTATGAGCCAAGATCCATCCAACTAAATCCAGTCACAATCCTGGTTGTACAGCAGTAATAGTACCGTGTCGTCAAAACTCACCCTCCTGATTCATCACCTCCATTGGCCGCGACAGGGGCAGCACCCGCAGCCACGGGTGGTGCTGGTGCAGGTGCCGGAGTAGATGTATCACCGGGCGTGGCCCAGTCTGGTTCGGCTCCGAATGGTGGCATTGTTATAGTATATCTTCGATCTTTGCTCAGCTGTTGTTGGTTGTTGTTGTCAACGACGAGTTGGATGGAAATGACTCGACTCATTCGACTCGACTCAACAAAAGCAAGCCTCACCGAAGAGGAAGCCGTTGATCTCTCATTCGTCACATTTTGTTCAAAAAGCAAAAAAAAACCTTCCCATTCTCCTCATCGTCATTCACTTCCATCCTTTCTTTCGCAGCAACAACAACCAGGACGAGACCATGCCGGGATCTCGATCTCGAACGGAGCAGCTCCGTGAAGCTACCAAGCGACAGATTGTTGGTGTCTTGACGGACACGACCAACAATCGAAAGTCCAGCACTGTCGTCGATGGGTCGGACCCCACTCATGTCTCCTTGATGATTCAAGATTTGCAGCGAGACTTTGATCGACGATTGGACGCCATCAAGTCGGAAATGCTGGCATGCAAACAGGATCAGTATCAAGCTCATTGCAAGGGAGTCATCAAGATCCCCAAGCCGACGCGATCCATGACGGTCAAAGAGTTCAATCAAAAGTACAATTGCAGTCTGTTGGATCTACTCCAAAACGTGCGAGCCCATGCCTCCGAAGGATTTGCCAGTATTCCCGCTGCTGTATGTGGCAAACGAGAGCGATTGGAGACACCCATTCCGTTCCGCGGCAATCGAACCGTGCAGACTCCTTCCACCATCATTCGGACTGTCCGTCGTGGAGAAATAATGTTGTAAGTATCACTCTTGCATGCAATACTATTTCGAGTTTGCTTGAACCCGGCATCTATCTATCTTTCCAACTTGACTCAAATCTGTTGCTTCCATCGCCTCTCTCTTCTTCCTCTTTGATCAACGCGACAAATATCCATCTATCAATTTTCTACACTTATTTTGGCATGGATGGTTTCTGCAGCTCCAAAAATGGGTCTCCGGTGGACAATACCGATGAAGGGGCCTTGGTGGCGACCGTCACCAAAAAGCGACGCGGCAATGCCCCACCCGCAGCCACAGCCAACTTTGATATCAATGTCGGGGAAGGGAAATACATTTCATTGAATGATCCTTCGGGGCTTCAGAACCTAGACGCCAACATGAAAACCAATGCCGTGGCACAGCTCAAGGTATTGCAGGATCAAATGGCAACCCTCATGGAACAACTGACCACAAACGAAAAAACCACCACCAAGAACTAAGACCGAACCTCAAATCATCAATCAATCCATCTATGATACAGAGGATAGCAGTTCCAACGACCAGGATTCTGGTCCTGGAGAAATGCAAAAATCCTCTTGTTTCGGTGACAGATGCTCTTCAAACTAAAGGATACTGATCTTTTAAAAAGACTAGTAATTGCTGGATCGTTCTATGCTGTCAAAGCAAGGCAACGTAAGAATACTGGTACCGGTAGAAGCTTTTTTGTGGATAGCACAGGCGCTACAAGTGTGTTTTCTTTCACGGAGTTTGTTGCTGTCCCTAATCCAACCAAGTTCCCTGGCCTGCAACCTTGGGCTTGAGTGAAACAAGACCAAATGCTAGCATCGTCTCAAGGCCAGTATTAGCATGCTTGTCGCGACCATCTCTTTGCCTGTGCGTGGTAGAAATGCCAGCCTCTTCCGTACTTCTATTGTTTACTTATTCTTGTATATGCAGCGGCAGCAGCGGCCTGTTCTGGAAGGCCCACATGTTCGAGCAATTGCCTTGCTTTCTCCTCTCCAAACGCTGCAATGAAACCCTTCAACCACTCTTCTATTCTATACGTATCATGTATTCTTCCAATCTTCTTGTGATCATTGAAGCGTTGAATTCGATACGCCGTGTTGTTTTCGGCCCCTCTGGCGTCGTCTTTTCGAAACAACATTTGATGCAGATTCCCAGGATAATGGTTGACGGCAAAGATGCTATCTTGCTCTATAATGGCCAGTTTCCCTGTGCAGATTGTTTTATTGGAAATGGGCCGATGCACGCTGGGTTGTGAGTTGATGTCTCGATATCGAATCTTTTTCAGATTGACCAGTGCCTTGCCCGGTTTAAAGAGTTTGTCGTAGTACTTCCAATGCAAGGTTTGAAAGTTGGCCTTGGTGTAGCCAAGAAATGTTTTGCTGGAATTTTTCATTTCTTTGGTGGAAAAGGTTCGGCGTGCCATGGTAATGCAAGGCATGTTGTGGATGTACTCGCCATTGACCAGATGCTTGGCATCACCTTGTTTCAATAATTTCATGATGGATCCAGGTTCCGATTGTTCGGGAAGAGTGACATTTTGTCGAAAAAAGGCAGTTTTCTGTGGATCTCTCAGGAGGTCGTTGACCATGGTATACTCATCAGTGTCAGTCACAAACTGCCAAGAAGAAGATAAAGCATAAAAGGTCAGCCAAAATCGTAGATGAAGGAGAAACGCCACCACATGGTATACACTTACCACCCAACCTCGTCTCTCCTTGTGCAATTGTTGGAGGCATTTCATCAGGAAGGTTCTTTGTCGTGCTCTATGCTGGCCTAGTTTTGTGGTGTTCTTTTTGGGGTTCTTGGGCGTGGGTGGCCCGTTTGGAAAAATGTCTTCTTCGTGCCACACGGTCACATCAATCCAATCCTTCCATCGATCTAATATCGGTTGGGGGGTAGTCATGGAACCAGGATCCACGAGGATAATCAGTCGTCGCATGGGCTGCCCAAACAAAGAAGAAAAGTGAGGATGCAAACTCTCAAACCGTTCCATGCATACTAGCTAGGTAGCAATGAAACTCACCATGACATAAAAATGGTATGCAAGCCACTCGATCAAGAAATGGTTGTCGTCCATGATTTGTAGGCACCCAGAAAAAGTGTCAGGATCATTCTTGGCTGCCAACTTTATGGGTGATAATGTCGATAATGACAAGGTTTCTGCATCATTAACTTCTTGCACTGGAGGTTCTTCCAACTGCTCTTGTGGATTGGTTTCAGCAGCCGATAATGACTCGGGCTCTGGATCATTTTCTGGAAGGGGAGGTTCTTCCAGCTGTTCTTGTTGTGGATTGGTTTCGGCAGATGCCTGCTTGTCATCTGGCTCTTCATCTTCGTCATCTTCATCATCGTCTTCGTCGTCTTCCAATGTTTCCTCCATATCTCGAGGGCTCGTTTGCGTCTGGACGGAGGTAGCGCTGCTAGTGGTATTCTTGGGGGCCCTTGTCCCAGGACTCATCTCCATTTCGTCGGTATCAGCTCGAATCAAAGAATCATGAAAAATCAGCCGTACGTTCATCGGCAGGATTATTAACACTGCCAGCAGAAGGAAACCTCGAAAGTAGGGGCTCAATATCATCTTGACCAAGACAAAAGGAGCAGCATGGCTCTTTTGGGAAGAGTGATCAGCGGTCCAATATACCGGGCAGATCCCGGTGATCTCTGACCCCGTTTATATACCAGTGACCCCGGTGATCTCTGACCCCGTTTATTGTGGTGGTGGTGGGTTTGCATTTGGTTGGTTGGTTATCCTTAGGGTTAGAGATTTACTTCAACCCCCTCGTTCTCACGCGTTCTCATAATAATCATACAGTAGCAACGGATCCTAATATTTTCCTCATGATGCCCACCTCTAAACTCCCGTAAGCTACCACGCCACTTTCTCAGATGGAAAAATCTAATGACTCACGTTGCACACCTCTAAACTCTTGTAAGCTACCATGCCTCTTTCTCAGATGGAAAAATCTTACGTCTCACGTTGCACACCTCTAAACTCCCGTAAGCTACCACGCCACTTTCTCAGATGGAAAAATCTTACGTCTCACGTTGCACACCTCCAAACTCCCGTAAGCTATCACGCCACTTTCTCAGACGGAAAAATCTAATGACACTACCTTCAGCCAAACTTTAACAATATTATTATGCCGGCCCATCTTTTAATTCAGCTCGCCCGGTATATCTATTACACCTCCGGTGTCCTTTTCGCGCGCACTTGAAGCTGTGGGCTTGTATGAATGACGGATGTGCTATGGGCTTGGGGAGGGGCAGCTGCCAGCTGGGGTGGGGCCGAACTTTTCATCATGGTTTGTAGCCAAGACTCTAAGCCAGCGGGGCAGTTTACTGTTCCTGGCTGAGTCTGACCTGCCATCCTGTAGACTGGTTGAGGTCAGCATCAGCCAAACAGTTCCTCACTGTTTGGTTTTCTGATGCTGGATTACCACCAACAGGCTTCTGGACCATGGAATTTTGCTTTTGCCGTCCTTGGTCCATCTCTCTTTATGGTGCCTCCGCCCATGTGTCCCGCATAGTCGGGCCATGTTGTGTGAGCTTCACCGGACCCCGTGTGTTTCGTACCACAGGCTCTCCCGTCACTAGTGACACATGGGCGCCCTTAGTGGCCTCCCTTCACGTTTCCGTGAGTTCTTAAGAACTCGTAAGACCGCTATCGGTCGAGAAGGAACATGCCGCTATTGGCTCTATTTTTTATCCTACTATTTGTCGTCCCCTGGTGCTTTCACCGCCCCATGAACCGCCATCGTTGTTGTTGTGGATTTTTCCGGTATCCGGGACTTCGTTTTCTTTCCGTTGTTGACCAACGGAGGGATACCTGGGATCGACACGCGTTTTCCGCGAGAGACTTAAATGGGTTTCCCCCTCTAATTCTTTTTCCCGATTCATGGAGTTATCATAAGGTGCCCGTGTTAAGTCTTTGAGCCCCCGGGACCCCCCTACTCCGCGGTGCCTGGCGACCCGTCCCATGTCACGTGCATCATGAACCAACTCGTCTATACGAAATTTGGTTTAGGCAAATCATTTACTGAGGCCTACTTTACTTGGGTGTCATGTTGACTCCAAACTTCCAGCCCAATCTTGATGAGCAATATTCCAATTGCCTACCTAACTTAGGTGAACGCTGGTCTCAAATTTGCTGGGGCCTAGCGCCCCGCTGGAGCAATCTCCGCAGGTCGGTTTGCTCACAAGTCGATTCCTTCTCGAATCAGTTTTCCCTTAACCATCCAGTTGCAACTCGTTGCCCGTGCCTACTACCATGTCTGCTCGCCAACTCTCGCTTTCTCGTGGAAAGAATGGACCAGTCCAGACGTTCTCAACCGCTCGCGCCGTGAACCCTGTCGTTGCCCAACTTCTTCAGCGTACCCTCCAGCCTGGTATGAACACCAATCATCGGCAGCAGGTGCTGAGTGACCCTGGAATTTTTTCCAGTTCGCCTGTGTGTGGAACGAGAAAGTAGGCCTGATCACTCGGCCTACAATCGTTACCAACACCACGGGAGCCGCCATGGTCGTTGGCGATTTCACGGACTCAATCGGTGAACCCCATGTTGTCCAGATGCCTGTGGATGATTTCTTTGGTTTCGTCACGAC